TTTCTGTAAAAAGTATATATAGATCTATTATAAATGATATTTCTAAATATCAACCAAATTTATATAGTGCAAACAATCATAGCCTTTATTTTTCAAAAATACTTATTTCTGTATAATTTAAAAAGGTTATATATACTATCAGCAACTCAAATTTATATCAACCATTTTACTATAATAATGCATACTTTGTAAATTAGGGGTTTTTTATTATTCATGTTCTAAATAATAAATTTTTTACATTGAATTTTTTGATATTTGGTATTAAAACATATATAATTTTGATTATTTTTAAAATATATGAAGGTGGTACCATTTTCATTAAAAAAGTGTAATTGATAATGCGGGAATATAACCGCCGAATGTGGCGGAAATTTTTTAAAGGGTTAAATATAGATTTTGAAGGGGGTTTGTTCTAATGAATATTGTGATCTACTATATTTTGAATTGTACAGGGCTCTAAATCTTCTGAAGCATGGGTATCAAGTATTTGAGAGAATATTAGAGACAATTTTTAGCTAGCTTCGAAATTACATTTAGTATTAAAAAAATATTAAAATATTGAGGGGGCTTTTCAAATTTTCTAGGGCTCAAGCCCCCGCCCCTTCTAGTGACGCCACTGATTAGAGGATAGAATAAGACATCAAGTGAAAATCTGTGATATTTAGTTTGGCTTCAGTCTGAAATGAGTCGTTTACTCTAAACCTTAAAAAGGTCTGTGAACAGGCTTAGCATTTTGTTATGTTAACTCTTTTATGGGAAAACTTTAGCATGTAGAGGATCTTTTATAACTGGCATATGTCAGAGTCAGCGTCAACGTCTACATGACAGGATTTTTACTGGATGCAAACCCTGTTAAAAACCTTTGCCTACCCCCTTAAAAAATTCCGCCGCCTTCGGCGGCAGTGTCTCTTTATTATATTTTCACCTTTATAATTATATTGATACTCTTTTCAGAGAATTTATAAAGATAACTTAAATTAATCTATATTTACTACCAATTATCGATTTTGTGAATATAAAGAATTTATTTTTTAGAAAAATTCAATTAAAAGCTCCATTATTTACAATGAATTAATTATTATGGCATTGTGAGCTTGCTGATTTGGAAAACAATGTGTATGATTGTTTGCAATATATAGATTTGGTCAATAATTGTATTATAATAATTCTATAATAAAAGTATTAATTTTTACAGCAATAAATTGTGTCCTATTTCATCTCAAAATTAAATAGATAACCTTCCAAAAAATTTATCCTACCCCCATTAAAGCAGCATACCCCCTACCCTCTCAAAAAAATAGGATGAAAACTGTTCCTACCCCTCCCGCTCATGTAGACGCTGGTCAGAGTTAAGGAATAGGATAAATATGTCAAAGACAGTTATAGGAAAAGAATGATTGGAAGTGAATGAATAATAATTAGAGTTGAGGTGTAAGGATTATGAAATAATGGAAGAATCAGGTATTTGGTAAATGTGTAGGAACTGCTAGAAGTTCAATAAACACAAGCTGCCTGAAATTGATAAATAAAAAAATGTAGTGGTGAGAAAGGAGGCTTGGAGATAGTAAGCGATATACTTAGCTTTAGGCAGAGATTAGGCAGTATCTCGAATACATATAGTAAATTTGTATTTGGTATTTATTTGAATAATTTAGAAAGTATTTAATATATTTTTTAAATACTAAAAAATAAAAAGTATCTTTTTAGATAAATATTTTTATATTAGTTTAAATTAAATTATAATTATAAATATAAATTCCCAATTTATAAAATTGTGTTCTAAGTTAAAGAAATAAATAAAGATTCTTATCCGTTTCATACCATTTTGTTAAAATAAGCGAAGTTCATAAAGTTAAGAGAAATTATTATATTTTTTAAGAGAATTAAAAATTATAGGTTCCATTCGCATATTTTTCTTAAGATATTAGGCTGTTCATATTAGCATAATAACTGTAAGGTCTCAATATTATCTATGCCCCATTTAATCATAAACGGAGGATTCTTCAAAATATCTTTGAAATAAATGATAAAATAAATTTTATACAATCATAAAAATTTGCAATTTAATAAAGCAAAAATTTTTTTAATTTAGCATAATGCTTAATTTAGGATTCCATTGTTAAAATTCAAATTTCGATGAATTAAAATTTTTATAATTGATATCATCTACAAATGTATAATCGAAATGCTGATTGTGAGATTTTAATAATTCATATAAAAAATTTAAAATGATTATAAATAATTATTATATTTTAATGATGAAAATTCTCAAAAAATTATCATAAAGGCACCCCATTTATCTGTAAATTTTATGCCACACTAAACTCCTTCTACCGAGGCACTTGTTGGTAGAATTGATTTTATATTTACCCATACGGATATAATCATTAAATATAAATATATTAATGACACTCGTTTTTAAAAAAATTATTCAAAATTGACTGTCAAAACATATCAATATTTATATCATTTAAGGGGTGTCCAAAAATTTAATATTAAATTATTTGATTTCATTTTTGTCTATAAATATTTATCTAAAAATTATTATATATATTTTTTTAAAATTTATTTTGATGCAGATGTCACATTTTTTGTATCTAGATAAAAATAATGATATCATTTTATTTAAACAATAATTAAATTTGATTTGATTTTTATAAAATGGTCAAAATATAAGTTAAAAGAATAGCTTGTGGATAGTGGTATTGCATAGGTGTATCAGGATTTTAATAAAGTGGGGGAGGGGTCTATTAAGTAAATTTTTTCCCTATAAATTTTATTGGAGATCTTTAAGTCCACTTATTGTTGGCCGTTGGCTATATTAGATTTTTATAATAATTTTTACTTTTTTAAAATATTAAATAGCCTTTTCTAAAGATTTTGCAACATAGTAATTATTTTAAAAAGTTATTAACTTTTACTAATTTTTCTTTCATATTCTTCCTTATAATGATAGATTATACATTGGATGGAAGGGGGGGGTAAAAAACGATATTTACTAGAACAGGCAAATTTATGATGGTAGGATCTCCCACTCTCCACCTCCATTGGTCGCGCGCCTGTGGTATAGTATATTGCCAAAATCATTTTCTAATATTCGTAAAAATATTAGCATTTATATATCTTTATATTGAAAGGACAACTTGGAGGTTTAAATCAATTTGATCAAAATCTACAAGCTACATTTTTTTAACTTTTTTATAAACTTTTATTAAATAAAAAAGAAATATTATTATAAACAATTATGAATTTTGCTAGCCTTTACATTTATTAATTAAATTTTTTAATTACGATTTTTAATTAAATTGTTTTATATACAATCTAAAAGATAAGTTTTAAAGTACGATATTTATTTACACTTTACAAGTAATAATATTTTTCCTATTAAATATTTGAAGGTTCAACTACATATATTTTTTCTTTTTAATGTTTGAGGTTAGAACCTCAGTAAAAATAATACTTTATTAAAACATTGTTTTGATTAACTTTAGATTATTGGAGTACGTTTACTGCATAATTAAGTGTAATAAGTTATAAAGCCAAGTCTTAGATAGAATTCTCAAAATAATTAATTTTTCAAAAAAATGCTACTTATTTTTATATCTTTTTTTTATATATTGAACATCTCGTCAGAAAATCAGCTAAAGACTACTTCTATCTCAGGTTAATAAGTTTAATTTATGAAAAAAATAAAAATAGTAATTGATTAAACTAATTATTTCCCAACATTTTTAAAAATTGATTATCTCAAACATTATTTTTGAAAATTAAAAAAATATACTAAAGCGGTTAATATTTTTAAAAGAATTTAAGACAATATGTTACTATCTAATATGTTATATTAAAAAACTGAAACATTTATTATCCTCCATCAATGGAACGTGATTTTATTTTAAAAAGAACCATATGAAATCTAATGGTATAAGTGTAATTATATTATTTCAGAACATATCTTTAGTTTGTTTTTTTTAAAAAAATATTTGAAATGAATTCCAACTTTTTCTTAATTTGTTCATTATGTTGGTTACTAATGACGCGTGAAAAACTTTGAAATGTAGAGAGCCATTAATTGCGTATATGAATGTAAACAAAAGGGAATTTATAGAGAAAGAGTTCAGAATATTATATTCATCAAATAAATACAGTTATACATATTTTTTTTAGCAATTTTTACTAGAAAAATTGAGAAAAACGTTTAAAAAAATATTAACTGTTCCAGTTAAAATAATAGGTTTAAAAAAAGTCTTAGAACACTAAGGATATCTCAAATGACTGTATTTAGAATCTTCGTAAGATTATCTCAAAATTTACTTGTGTAGTAAAAGAATTCATAAGATGGATTATATGTTTTATATAAATCAAAAACTACAATATTTTTTATAAAGTCAAAAAAATGGCCATCAAAAAAAATTGAGACTGGACAATTAAAAGTTTGAATTAGACTTACTAGAATGGGATCAACCAGTAAATTTGATTTGAAATAGATAACAAGTAAAAAATACTCGTATTGAAAAAAAATAAAAGAAGTTGAATAACGGGTCAAAAACTTTTAAAGTATAGTTATCAAGATTGAGTTAGATTGATTAGTTTGAAAGGATATTCCAAGCCTTAAGGATAAGTATTTTATATTGCTAAATATTAGTAAGTGGGGTAATAAAAAGTAAAAATTAAATATTTCAGGAGGCTTATAAGGTATTATTATAATACCATCTAGAGAATAAAAATTGTTTACTTGCACTATATCAAAACCGAAGGGTTAACTTTTCAATGGTATTAAAAAATAAGTTCAAATTATTTAAACTTTTATAATAATAAAAACACTTTTGGATTAACTTTAAATTGTTTTTTTGTAAACGAGAACTATAAAATATGTTTGATAAAAAATAAAAACCAGTTGCAAATAATAATAATATTTTAGTATATTTTGTTACAAAATTTATTATAAGTTCTTAATAGTAATCAAAATTTTACTTTTTTTTCCTCCACGCGAAAAACGAAGATGTATCTAAATTTTATAATGTTCTTCTTTATATTTGGAATAGCAATGGAATATCAATTGGCAGGAATGAATTCAGGTTTAAAAACAATGTTAATTTGTAAGGAGTAGCTAAAAATGTAAATAAGAAGAATTTGTTTATAGAGAGTAAGAAAAAAGACAATACATGTGGATTTGTTTATGAAAAAACTATCTATTAGGGGCGATTTATCCTAACCTTGTGCTTACTACGATAAAGTCATTCTTATCGTAAAACTACCAATATATTCTTTTAGTTGCTAACCAATAACAAATATGTCATTTTCCGCAGAGGAATGCGCATTTCATAAGGATAGGGCCCATGTCTTATCAAAATCCGCCAAAAAATGCTGAATAGATAATGGAATAAAGATATAGAAATAGTCTAATAGGAAATATATGGATTTGAAGTAGGTATAAAAGTATTATTCATATACAAAGGAAGATTTACTGAACACCTAATTTTATTAAAAATTTATTTTAAAGGACAAGGCCTTTAATTATGATTTAAGGAGGTTTCTTTTACACACTTTTTAAAAGAATATATAATATAAAAATATAATAATTTTTATAAATAATAAGATTACATGACACCAATATCTCAATTTCCTAAAATGTTAACTGAAAGTTTAAAAATTGTGAATACAAGTGCCGATGCATGCACCGATATTTATAAATACGCATGCGGAAATTATGGCCCTTATTTACGGGATAAAACGATCAAATATGCAAGTGAAATCAAAGATTTATGGCACCCAATTCGACAAATGGAATTGGAAATGAGACATGAGATTGGTAGTATTTTAGGTTAATAATTGGCCCTTGTTTATACACATTTATTATATTTAAAAATGAACCTTATATAATAATGTAGCAAATTAATATGATTACATAAAATAAATTTATAAAAATATAGGGAAGTATTAATTTATATTGATATTTTTATTTTTAAATTATATAATAATTAATGATAATTTTTAATGAAAAAAAAATTATATCCGCCATAAAGAGGGAGCGATACTGGAAGATCTAACTTCCCAGCACCAATATCTCTTGCGACAAGTTCATTCCTTTTATAAATCTTGTATGAATGAAGAAATTGATTCTCCAGTTTTTACAGATCTTATTAACGAGTATTTCAATGATAGCGCCATCTTAAGCGAAAATGCAACAATTTTCACAAGTAATCTATTAGATTTAGATGAAAAGTTGCAATGGGACCTTGGATTAGAATTGATTTATAGAATATATATAATAAGGCCAGCAACTGAACAACCTTATATATATATTCACATACCGTTTAAATTAATCATCAAGGGTGACATATATCGAGAACATAAGAAAGAATCCTACAATGCATATTCAACTTATATACAAAAGACACTGGAAAAACTAAACATGGATGTTAATTTGGCCCAGGATATAATGAATTTTGAAGAAAGTCTTTTACAGGTATACTAATAAATTAGTCACCAATCAGCTTAACATTATTTCTAAAGAAATTTATAAACAACCCCCAACGATGTAAAGTGCAAAATGATTTAGTGTGTGTCAACATGACAATTGCAAATGAATCTGTCCAATTTGTGAATAAATAAATCATTAAATTTCACTATTATTATAATGTTCTTTTAAAATTAAGATAAATCTTGAGAAGCTACTGAGAAAAAGATCAGACGCACCTATTCAGAATGCTAAGGTGTGCTACTGTGAGGAATTTATCAAAGCGTTAAACGAGTGGTTCAAAAAAAACTTGCCTTACAATAATAGGTAAATTTAAAAACGTTTTTAAAAAATAATATTATAATTATCATATATGTCTTATTTTATCTATTTCTTAAAAACCCAAAATTAACAAAAAAAACAAGAATCTTTTATTACTATCTAAAAGTATTTGTGGCGACTAAATTGATGCAGTTTACAAGTCGGGCAGATGATATGGTACAATACTATAGCGAAATTCGTGAGCCATTTACGATATCAAGAACAGATTATTGCCAAGATGAAGCAACAAAAATATTTAACCATATCTTAACTGCTACTTATATACATAAAACTGGATTTAAACGGGGTGATATGGAAGTGAGACTTTAATATAAAATGGCTTGTTATTAAAGTTGGCAGTAGATTTTTTTTAAAAACATTGTCTCTTTTATGTGGCCTCCATTTTGTCAGGCCTTCGGTTAAATAAATTTTTTTGTAATTATTTTAAAACTGAATTTTTTAAAAAATTACCGAATTCTCTACTTTAATATAAAAATAAATTAGCATTATATTAAAAATTCTATTGACAAAATATATTTTATAAAAGTTTTTGAAAAAATTGTATATAATATGTATATAAATTATGGAAATAAAAAATATTGATTCGTAGATTGAACTAAAATGTGATTGATAAATTTGAATTTCGAAATAGATTTTTACCGTAAATCAAAACCCTCATGAGGAATGTCGATAGTTAATTTTTGGTTTGAGTTGATAAATGAGAGGTTGTTTCAAAATAGTTTGACATAGTGTGATGATATATTTAAAGTACGCTCAAAGGTATTCTACTATTTTTTGAATCAAAAAATCCCTATTCATAACAACCATTTAGGATTTTAATAAAGAAAAAAGTGGGCAAAATGATATAAAAAATATGAATTTAATTATTAGTAACATTTGAAGGAACCATCGACGATTTGGATAATTAGCATAAAAATAATTTATTAAAGTATTCTTTAGAGGCATTAATTGCCAAACCATTGTCCTAGATAATTTAAAGTAAAATCTTTTTGACTTGAGACATTGTTACTAACTTTTTAAAGGTTAATAAATTTTTATCTGACTGTGGAAGAGGTGAATTTAGAATATTCCTCTAAAATTCAGAGGCTGGTTTAAATAACGATCTTTCCCCTCTTAGCTATAATCTTCGCGCACAGTCTAAGACAGGAAGAGATTAGAATTTTCTTTTAGTCACAACGACACCAAATTAAGAGTCCAATTGAAATCGAAAAAATTTTGTTGAAATTAGAGTTTGCCTTTATAAATTTAGTAATAATATTTTTTCATAATAATCATATTTTTCTCTTTACAAAGTTAAAAAACCTTATAAAAGAAGCTAGCATTCTAGTCGACGAATTATATCTTAATATGAAGAATGCAGCACAAAGAAACCAGGTTAATGCATAATTTATTATTTGTATCAGTTTTAAGAAAATATTGTTTATAATCTAATCAACCCATAAGACCCATAGTTTAAAGGGGTGTCATAGTGTAGAGTCCTACAGAGCCAAGCCAAGGTTCTATCTTGGGCCTTGCTCCTAACATCGTTAATATGATATTGGCTTGATATTCTGAAATAATTTATATGCTTCAGATATTAAATTAATTCCATCATTTGGCGAATAAAGTATATACACAAAACAAGTTTCCAAACTTAATCAGACCAATTTTTTTTATATAATATATATTTTTTAAATTATTAAATGCTATAAATATTTTATAAAAATAATATAAAAAATGGATATGAATAGTTTTAAGGTAGCTAATGAAGTCCCATGGAAATAATTATTGTATTCTCTATTTTTTTCGTTGGTAAATGAAATCTTTTAGATTAATAAATTTATTATTTTTTTGTAACAAGGTTTTTAAGAATTTAAAAGTGATTCCCGAAGAGTTGACTTTTAGTTGAATAGATCATTATAGTAAACATCTGTGATATGCATGTATAGTTTCATATCATTTCCTCAAATCCATGGGATTGTTTAGGTCATCTGCTCTAACTGTATTTTTTTAATAGTGTTGACTCAAGCAGGTGTATGATAGGCAGCAAGGTTTTAATGCTATTTGTCTATACAAACAAAACAGTTGAAACCATGTCTACTATCTGGATTTACAAATGACTTACAATTCACACAGAGAAGCAGATGCACGATGTCACTTGATATGAGATTATTTCCAAGATTACAAAAATATTTTGTTTGAAAAAAATAATATTTGAATGAATATAATCTAACAAACTTAAAAATATAATTATTGATTATTTCTATTCATGTCCTTTCTTTCTTTCTTCGATTTCTAATTTGCGTATCTGTGCATATGAATGTCTAGCCAAGTCATTACCCATCTCCATCTGATAGATAATTCTGGGTTACCATCACTAATACAATTTGAAATTGCCACATTTCCTTTGCATATTTATTGGTTCTAGGAAGTGACAGGCAGTTATACCCAAGATCTTTCTGAAGTCAGGTGAATTTATATTGAATCTCAAATTTTTTGACAAATAATGCAATCCTTGTTCTCCTTCATGCCACGGTTAAATTAGATTTTGGCTAAAATTTTGGTGACAGAGAAAATGTTAATAATTTTCATTTTGTTCTTAAAATTGAAATTCTTTATATTATAATTAAATTGAATTAATGGTTAAAAAAAACTTTTCTTTCGATTGGGAAAGTTCTGCTTCTTCGAATATGTTTATCCCCAAGGTCAAATAAGCATATAAATAGAGTTCACTGGGGAGATTTTTGACATACCAAAATGGTTATTGTTACTCCCTAAATTGATCTAACTAATGCAAGCCGGGCAGCTCGGCCAGCTTGGCTCGCACGAAAAGATTTGTATTTGCGGGATTCTACTAGAGGGATAGGGATATTTATGGCTTGGTACTGAGGAGTTTGTAGAAAGAAAACGACTTTTTTTATGATTTAATTTGAGATTTCTAAGGAAAAAAAATTACCATAAAAAATTGATGTATTAAATATTTCCTTCATTTCTAAAGGTAGAGAATAATGACATCGAATTAGGATACCCGAATTATATCAACAATATGTCAGGATTATATGAATATTACAAACATGTAAATTGATGATATTGAATTTTTATTTATGGAAATATGTCAGGGTAACTTGATTGGAAATCAGGTTTTGCTGGAATCTTTTAAATTTAAATCATTTTATTGTGACATATTTTTTTCTAGACTTTATTTAATTGCTATAAATTTTCAGACAATTTAGTCTTTAAATGTTGGTAGTTAACTTAAATTTTTTTTTTAAGAAAATTGGTTTACATGCTTGATTTTCAGCATTTCAATGAAAATCTTAAATTCATAGAATCAGTGTTAAACGCGTATCAGAATGCAATGGCGAAAAAAATTAAGCCTTTAAAAAAATTGGGGGCCATAAATGATCTTCATTTTAAAGATTCTAATTTACCCTAAATTCCAGACAACTATATTTCCCGGAAATTTGGCAAAATAGTAGTAAATGTCTATTTGTACCTTTAAAACTGCCAATCTGTTATCTTTTTGAGAGAAATATATAATCTGTGATCATATATTTAGGTAAAACAAGTAGGTATTTATATTATCAAAATTAAAATATTGCAAAATTGGGAAGATTAGAGAAATTTGAAATCAAAGAACCCGTTAGTAAACTAAGATGATAAAATTATATAAGGCGTTTCAAAAATCATATTATAAGAGGAGACTTAAAAGCCATTTTAAGCCTTGGTAAATTAAATATTTATATTATTCCTTTATAATTTTTAAAAGTTTAACATGTCGGATGATTATTTGAAAAATGCTATACATGCTAAAAAGACACTTGTGCAACAAAATTTCCAATTACTCAAAGAAAGTTCTCTTTTCCAGATTGGTATATTTTTAAAATTCTTTTATGTTTTTTTAAATATAATTTTTATGAAATTTTTGAATCAGATTTGGATAAAAATTACATGGATCCATATTTGGAGACAAAGCCAAATTTGAGTAAACTCATATTTAGCATAATTTTTTTTTAAAATTGAAATAATTGTTGTATATTGATAGAAATATCAATAGGCTTCATAAAGTACTCGTTTTATTCATCAAAGGCCCCCGAGTAAGAAATTATTGATAAATTTTATTGTAAATAGAATATTTATTTCATTTTTTAAGTTACTTCAATATTGCTGGCTTGATTTTCAATATAATCAGAGAGCTATTACCTATAAGTAAATACCTTTTTTGTATCTAATATGCGATTTATTATTGAAGAAGAAATGAAAAATACAATATATATAAAATATAATAATCAAAGTATGGTTTGCAATCTAAAATAATAATTAAAAATATTTATAATTAAGTAAAAGAGAGGCGTATAGTAGGGTTATTAAAAAGCCTGATTCGGGTCGATTTTTATAAATGACCCGGTTTAGATTTTCGCCGAAATAATATTATGTAATCTTCGAGATAGGAAAACTAGAGGTCCAAACCTTTCTGCCAACCATGAGCAAAATCTCCAGGCTTACATAATATTAATATAATTAAAATCTTGATAGGGTAGTTTTTAAGAATCCACCCCATGGGCCTTTTAAGAATAGTGTATAGACAGGAAATGGCTAAGTTATAATAGCCGTTTTCCACTTAGCCATTATAAAAAATAACCTTAGCTATTTGTAGTCATATAATTAACCTTGGCCAATTGAAACAACTATGACTAAAGGCCATAGTAAAGGCGAACCTAACTCTTTCAAACATTTCCAGGAGCTGACAGCGGCATTCAGATTAAGCTTCAGAAACCCAATGATATCTCGTTATTTTATTCTGTCAAAATTGATCCGAACGAACACTTTTTTTGAAGGTATTTTTAAATTTAAGATTTCCTATTATGGAGCCTAATTTGAACCTATTATGGTTAACCGTTAAAATGAATTCGCATGAATTTGTGTACTTCCCTGTGAATTCGCGCTAACTATGAATGAGGTGTAAATTTCACGAGACCCCATTGATTTAAATAACTACTACCAATAGGAGTCAATTTTAATTAGCTTTTTAATTAAAATCATACACAGATTTGGATTGCTATTGAAATAATTTTTAAAATTGATTTTATTCGTATACATTATACGAATACGATAATAACAAAAATATTTATTTAATTTTAATTTAGCCGATCATTTTGAGGTATTATTAATTTTTTACTTGTTATACATGTGCATTTGTAGCACATTATTAATTATATAAGATTTTAAACCTGCCCATACTTTTACCAATTCTTTGTATTGTATATATGAAAATTTTATACGCGATAAAGATCAGGATGATGCCTATTCAAAATTTGAAATCCCACAAA